TTTTTTTGGTACTTTCGCTCACCATCCGTCTAATGGACATGGGTAGTGCTTCGACAACGAAGTACCTCCTCATCGGAGTGGTCCTACCCCGTCATGGAGCAGCAAAATTCTACTTTCTGCCCGAATTCGCTACTGGGCTGTAAGCACCACAGTAATTCCGATTAGTAGTTCACACATGCCCCTCTAACTAACTGGTTGTGGGTAATTATCTTATTTTACATCGAAGAGATCCGGATCCGAAATCAAAAGAAGATGGTAGATGGAATCTTGCTTTCTTACTGCTGGTCACTCACCTGCACGCCGGATACATATCGACTGGTACCAGTATAATAAATTTAGTTTTTTCCCAGTCCGGGTCAATTTTTTCTCAGATGTTTTTGAAGGTACTTCATCAAATTTACATGCCAAGTATGTATGTTAAATATGTATTCCACCTGAATCTGAACCCGAAAACACACCTCGATTTTAGAACAGCAAAAAAGGTACTCTTTGGGAGCCCATGAAACTCATTTGCAGTCTTCTAAGTCCTTTGCCCCTGATTATTCATCGATCAGTAGCTTACCAATTAGGAACTAAAAGCTGTTGTTGTTTGGCCTTGGGTTCATTCTTCTAGCCTTTACTTTTTCCGATAAATAAATCCTCTTTGTTCCCGGGGCGTTTATAGTTTTGTGAACTAATCGATAACCATTTTTTGCCAATACTTCCCATAATGGATTGTGTTGGATATGTGAACATCGCTATCCTTCAAGGAGCCTGTTGAAGAGTGTCGCTTCTTTGTTTCAGAGCTTGTCGAGAGCGCATTCAAACTGAACTGCTTATCAGTCGAAGCCTGTTCTTTAGTTCAGTCATGTCTCCATGTTCCTTCCTGCTCTTATCAGACTGCTGATATGGGCTGATAGCCGCCTTAACTGTACTCTTTCATCTGATTTGTTTTTTTTTTACGATTTTCGTAATGTCGTTACGATGTGGGAGGTCAGAAGTGACCACCGGAAGTAGACTTCGATTTTTGGTTTTCACGTAAGATTTCCGGTTTCATGTGGGTTTTAAGAAACCATAGAGACCAGAACACCTGGTCATTCCTTAACAACTCTTTAGGGCTCTGAGTGGAGAGGTTCTCGACCATTCGATTCTCCCGATTTTCCGATTTCCGGTTCTTCATCAGTTTTCCCAGGCACTAGCTTGTTCCATTATTGTTTGTCTTGGACTTTTGACTTCATCAATTTTGCGGCGATCTAAATCTTTCGCATGCTTACGATAAAAACCGACTTGCCTCGGTTGCTGCTTGATTGGAGCGGATAGTTATGATTGGAGCATGATATCTTCAAAAATACCGTATCCAATAATTTCAGATGAATCGTAAAGTGACTGCATGCGGATTTTTGTACGTGGCACCGCCAAACCTCGACTTTTCACTGCAATCACATTCCGCTAAGGTGAGTGAGTCATCTAGGAAACGTTTTTTGAGAACAAACTTAATTACTTCCTTTTCCTTGATGATTAGTCAGCACAAACCGGTTATCATCCTCTTATGGAACTTTCTATATTCATCAGATGTATTGGCAATAGAAATTATGCTTTTAAACTTCTTTACAGGAACAACAGGCTTTCTTCCTTTGTCTTTTTGCCACTTTTTCTTGACTAGTTGTTTTAATGGGCTTAGAAAAAGGAAAGAGAGGCACAAAATTTAGCCGACAGCCCCTTTGATTCTTTTTTCCTCTCCTCAAAAGCCTGATTCGATGCTAGACGTCGCCGTACATGTCATAGTTGGTGGAAGTGACGAGTGCGGTCGCGAAGCGGCTGCAATTTTATGCAAAACCGCAATGATCTTGCAAATTAGCAATGGAAGCATGCAGGAGAGATGGTCACTCAAACTTTCGATATCTCATAGGGATCTAAGTAGTCGAAAAACCGCTCCGCAACCGCCCGCGTCCGTCACAAATGGGTTGCCCATTTAACACCAATTGATTAGAAAAATAACATGAAATAAGCTCAAAGCTCTAACTTTCTAAACTCACGCGCACTGTAACGGTAACAGTAGTCACTGGGTAGTGAGTTTGGCCCCTCGCAGGATTCGAACCATCGTCACGTCTTTTCGAGTACCCTAATTGTTCATCGTCCTACTGAAATTGATCACTAACAGTTAAAAAAAAATAATAATCCTATATTATTGATTAATTGATTGATTGATGGCTAGTATGGTGCATATTTTTAGCGATGGCAACGGCGATGGTTTACGTTGTTCGATTCTGGTGAGCTTACATGGGCACTGGACAATAATGTGAGTTTGCCACATTCCACTTTACAGTCTCCAATTCATTTTTCTTTCTTCTCGTTTTTTTCGTTCTCTCTTGTCCGAGAGAATTTTTTCGCGGCAGCGGTATTTCTTTGACCGTCCATTTGGAACCGTTCACAAAGTACATTTTCCCACATCCATCACTATGATGTAACTTACGACCTTTGACTGACTTTTCTCTGTGTCTTTTCGGCGGCACAGTGCAAAATACAGCACTACGTGTAAGAAATTCATCAGGGGGGCTTTGTAATGAGTCATGTGGGAGGTGTCGAGAAGCTAATCAATCACTGTAGGTATAGATACTTATACATATCAGAATCCCTCATGACGGTTCCATGGGATGACCGAATTCAAACATATCCTCCCTGATTCCCTATCATAAAGAGGCCGTCTCTGAGTAGTCTTTTTGGCAATGTTATGTCAACCACTCAATCAATTGCGTACAGGATCTCGATCAAAGAACAAATGCACGGCTTACCAGAGAAACCCATGCTTGCTTCCGCTTCAGAGCATCATCTTAACTTCTACAGTTGAAGCAAATGTGGTTAGGAGATTGGTCTATTCTCGAGACGACCTTGAACCTAGCTGGTTAAGATGGGAGTCGAGGCTGTTGAAGGCAATTGTACGAGGTTTTGCCGAATGCGGCCGGCTTAACGAGGTGTTTTCCCGGTTCCTTCGGAGTCACATTGTTTTTCTCAAAGGATACCACATTAGACAGTGCCAAATTTGGACTTTCAAGGTCACCTGGTGGGAGAGAGAGAAACACTGCTGAAATGCCATCTTCGATTCAACCTCTGCAAGACTAGGCGAGATTGGTCGTATAGAATTACCTACAGAAGACTTGTTCGATCCCTTACCAGCTTATCTAGGGAGCTCTCGATATGGGTTCTAGTAGAGAAAATATGTACTTCTCTGCCCACGGTTTGTCCTTTTGAGAGGGTATGTTTGTTCCAGGACAGGTGTAGGACTGCAGGGAATGAGCAGACGGCTTCCTAGTGGAAGGGACTTCTCTGTCACCTGTCCTACTAGCTATTGATCCGATTCATTTACTGGCATCAGAAAGTGAAGAGGTCTCTTCTTAGGTTCCAAGTTCTACTGTTATTCACGTTCTGCATGTTCTCCTTGGGCTTGGGAGGTATATTTTTGGAGAAATGCAAATTGATGGCATAACCCATTTGTGACTTGATGTTAGAGGTGCCAACCTGACGGATTACGTGCCCATGAATAGCACTTTCCGGAATTGGACGATTACCATTATTCACCTCAATTAGCATTCCGATTATGGTGGCAATGGCGTCCACAATTTGACTGACCAGTTCACTCTATTTATCTTTTTCAATAGTGCCATAAATAGAGGCGAACGGAGCTGAATAGGGCCTCATGGGAAAGGTAATTAGGCGTGGGTAAAGCAGCCCATGTCTAAAACTTATTCAGGGACATGAATCAGGATGATAGATTGGTTATGACTATACACTCATTAGTGCGCTTATTTGGATCGGAGTATTCCCGGATTGATTGCAAATTCTTGAGATGGGTTATGGAACGGGAACGGCTTCATGGATCGTAGGGAATGCATTTGACGATTGTGTTTGACCATTCGAGGAGATTTTCCAGACGAATATGTCTGTGATTATATGTTTTACCTGAAGTGGTCTGAAAGTTTCCATCTGAGCAGATCGTGTTTGACTGCCTGTATTTGATTAGCAAAAGCTCTTCCCAGCTTAGGATTTATGGCACCAATTCCTTTTCATAAGTGATGCTGCAGAGAAGGAGGGGGGGGGGGGNGGGGGGCTATGAAGTAGGGATGACGAATGCGATTATAGACGTGGTTCACCACCAGGCGAATTTTGCTCTTTTTGAATTATTAGCCTTTAAAATATATCCAGTAAATGATCTTCAACTTCTTTATTAGTTCAGTTACTCTGCCAGGGTACAACTCCCTGCTATTTGTACATAGCCACCCATAGCCAAATGTGAGAGTCGGATCTGACGAGAGATGAGGCCTTTGCCAATACTGCTAGCCGTGCTCCATCGCGACCTTTCCGTGATTTCCAAAAACTCGTCGTTTTCTTTTTTCCTACTGATTTTTACTCGATACTGATTCAATCGATATGTTCGATCTTTTAGCCGGATACCGTACCTCAACTGACCATCGACATGACACGATGCCATCGGGTCTGTGAGGCGGACTCCATTACAGGTGAGTTCTAGCTGGGGAACCATTTTAGTCAGTTGGTATATGCAATTCGCTCTAGGGAACTCACATTCAATTCTAATGGCCTTCAAAACGGAAGGCGATACATCGCAGCCATCAATCGTCTATGTAAAAGCGGATACGACGGACGAAATTCGTTGGTGAGTTTGGGAAGCTCCGCCTATCCGACAAGCCACTCCCCTAACTCGACCAATATGAGCTGATTCCAGGTGGCAGAATATGCTGAACGCTTATGCAAAGCAGAACACCATACAAGTACGACCAAGGCGACAAATGGCAGACGAAAAGTATGAACCGATGGCGGTGAGTGGACAGTTGCTCCCCATTCTCAACAAAAATCGTTTCAACGGGAAGAATCAAGTCGTTGAATCGAGACCTATCTCATTAGTCCCGAATAAAATCCCTGTTCCACGAATTCTCGAGGCAGTATTTCATGGAGTCACCAGTGGTTATTTCACGCATGGTCCTATTCCGAACTTCTTCCAGCTGCCTCTCTTACTTGGCGGTTTCCCGATTTCCCGACACTTTTTCAGAAACTTGAAAAGAATCTGGGTTGAAGGTTAATGTGATTCTACGAGGCACGAATCACTTCAATGTGAAATTGTTCTCGTGTACGATAGTGCTAGATAGGGAAACAGGACTAGAGATACCTCGAGATACCGGAATCTCGCCGTAGCAAGCACTTGAGCGAGCTAGTCTTGGGGTCTGTAGGTTCTTATGTACATCAAAGGATTAATTGCAGGTGATTTCTCCCGAGCCGGACATGGAGTTTTCGGCGTGTTCGTCACGATGTTCTTCTTTGGATCGGTTAGAGGCGGAACGAACGGCGCCAGCAAGCGCTACTGTAGTCGCCGCCGAACCGAAAGACATAGCCGCTGCCCCCGGTGGTGCCACTCTCAAAGGTACCCATGGAACTCCACGCAGTGTGAAACAGAGGGATCGGAATTCAAGGTAAACACAAGTACATTTCTATTGGCTTCAATTAGAGATTCTTAGACCATTACGAGCTCACTGTGTTCCTTTGTTTTGGAAGGGGAGTGTAGGAACCGAACTAGGGATTAGGATATATCCCCTAGTTGCTGATGGCTATCTGGAAGGGACGTTAGGATCAAATAGGTAGATCCAGATTCTTGGAAAATACGATCCACTTAAGCCCAGCGCCCACCGGATTTCGTTTCGCAAATCTATGTGGATACGCCACATGTTTCTTTTCTGTTCCATATCACAGAGACGGTTCGAAGTCCCTTCTCATCACTTTGTATCATCCGAATGGTTTTGTAAAGGGCGTGGTCATCACTGGGAGAAGGTTTTGATTGAATTCATGGTAGATCGAATCATTTTGACTAGGATCATGATTGATCTGATGGACTGTCCGTAACGTGCACCTACTGCTATCAAACCCCATCATTGAGATATGCCCATGCTTTCGGGGGCGAACACCCTCGGCCAATACTATGCTCTTTCTGAAGCCTAGATGACTCATTTCAGTTTATATATTTGTTTAGGGAGGAACCGTTAAGACGATCCGAATCGTCGTCCCACTCCCAGACCACGCCCATCACTACTACCACCAACACAATCACTACTACAGGCAGCTGTCCTACTATATCACGGTCAGTTAATTGGTTACAGTAATCCCTAGCCAGCACTTTACCGTATTTCAGAGTTATACCCAATTTTGTTACCTAGTCATTTGATGGCTACAACTTTTTCCTGGCTTGAACAACGACTTAGAAACCGGTCTTCTAATTGGCAAAGCCATACACTTCTTCATTTTATTAGATGCTATTGTCCACGATTACAGGGCCAAGTTCTTAGATGGGCCTAAGCCATTGAGTAAGCTACCCGAACCACCCTACCTTCCCACCTACTCCAGTCAAAACGACTATGTATTTGTTCGTGACTCTTTTACACTGAACATACTTGTTCTCTTTATTTACACGACTCTGCTGGCTGAACGCGAAGAGCCGTTCTCTCAGGGAGGGGCGGATCCCATTGTATCCCGTCAGTTTAGGCCCGCAACGCTTGTTGTTCTCTTGTATGCTATTGCTAATACGACAATTGAACTCGTTCTTGAGCAATTATCCAGCTATGATTGGATTATGGTCCAGTTCGTTTCAGGACCGTACCATCACCACCGGTATCGCGTAGTCGGCTATCGTCTGCCTCCGTTGATTCAATCGCTTCCCCACCCGTTCAGCAGGCTCAAACCGAAGAGAAGAAGAATCTGGACCAGGTCAGGATTTGATGATAATATTACATTTTATTATCAAAAAGTATATTCCATTACAATAGTCACGATTATTCGATGGCCTTTAAGAGGATAATCACAGAAAGATCTCTCAGAATAGAAATTTTTATGAAGAAAATACGGCAACAGTATTATCACAATATCTGGAGCGGTGTCAGCCACAATGCGATTTTTGGTAAAGCTTGATAAGACAAAATATTGCACGNAGGATTTGATGATAATATTACATTTTATTATCAAAAAGTATATTCCATTACGGCCTTTAAGTGGATAATCACAGAAAGATCTCTCAGAATAGAATTTTTATGAAGAAAATACGGCAACAGTATTATCACAATATCTGGAGCGGTGTCAGCCACAATGCGATTTTTGGTAAAGCTTGATAAGACAAAATATTGCACGACGTCGCTTACGGTCGCTGAACGTCGTCATTTGTCGCCAACTATGTTCTAAGCAGCTTGACAGCACATTCTTCTTGCTTGACGTCCGAATACCTCGTCTAGCTTTATCTGCAGCTATTTGGTGGCTCGACAAGATGCCTTAAAGAGCAGTGAGCAGAATATTTTGAAGTTTTGGGAAAAAATGAAACGGAGGTACTTCATATCAGCCATTGTTGTCAAACTCTGAAAGAAACTGCCCAAAAGCCCGTAAAATCCCTTTTTGGAATCAGCCACGCATCTGACTCTCATTCAGGATCATAGTGACGTTTGAATGCTCCTTCGGGTTGTACATCGACCCAATACCTTGATAAGTACCCACCAAAACTAACATATAAAGGATCACAAATGTTTGAAATGTTTTCTAAAAGGCTTCAAACCCTTGATGACGAAGCTGTTGGACCGGATCCGTTTTTCCGAGATTCTTCGTTTATTATGGATCATTCATATGATTGAATGAGTACTGGTTTGCAAAATGACTTGCTGCCATCCGGCACCGTTGAAGTCGTTAATCCCTTTGGCAAGTCCAATGCCAGTTTGGATCAGGTCGAAAAAAAAGAAAAGCCTGACACTGTTGGGGCGGAGATAGAACTGGTTGGCCATTCGATTTTATGGGTAAAAGGGCAGGCAGCATTCCTCTTGCCCTGGCATTTCCTCTTTGACATCTTTTCCCAAGTGTGGTCGCCTTCTAACTTCTTAGCCCTTTGGTTCTCAAGCCATTTGTCGATGTCTTAATACAGCCAGCTCACATCTGACTAGTTCGAGATATCTTGAGTTGCACTGGGAAAACTGGTTCAAATTTTTAAAAATATGGTTTTTGTAGTCGATTTAAAAAATTCAATGCAGCTATTCAGGCGTGTCATATCGATACATCAATGGCCCATACTCTGCGGAAAGGATGGCTCATGCTCCGTGGGAAGAGCGACAACGAATGGCAAAATCATTGGGTCGTACTAGCCGGTCTAAGCCTGAAGTTGTACAAGTAAGTTCGTTTCACAGTACTGCTAATACCGAATGGTACGGTACTACTCAAAAAAAAGTTTTTGAGCAGATTCAGACCGATTTTCCATTTTCCTTGAAAAAGTTAAACCCTGCTCGATTACTGGTTGATAGGCGAGAAGGGTCAATTAAATGAAAAGGAAGTACTACTTAGACTATTTGAAGAAGAACATTGAGATGGGGTAGATTCGGAAGGTAGGATCAATTCTCCCGAATGCCCCATGTTTTCGTTTCCCATCTATAATTATAAATATATTTGGTCAATTCCCTTTGCGCTGAGTTTGATTCCGCTGAACAAATAGCGCGGCGTTTCTACCCTCTGTACCAGGTCAAACTGACGGTTTCGGGAGCGAGGCACGGCATGGGATGCTTCCTGCCCACCCTTCTCTAAGAACCTAACTATTATGGGCATTTGCTAGTGCTAGCGATTTTCCGATCAGAATTGGACCATCTATCATACAGCTGTTTCGGAGGAGAACGTTCTCGTAGGGTAGGCGCTATTCTTAGCAGGATAGATCCTTGACCATTTTTTGTCATCGATACTACCCCACCACCACCACCA